TCTTTTTCTACAAGATGACTCCTGGTCATCGGGTTTTATGGTACCCTCCACACTGCATGCCACTTTTGCTTTCTTTGTTCATCAGGTTTTATGTCACTTTCTACATAGATTTATGGCCATTCAGGGGTGACTTTGCAGTCAGTGCAGAATTGCCCAGAGGTATTTTGAGCAGCACCTTTTCCTCTGAAGTCAATTCCGCATCTGGCATTTGCTCCACATTTGCTCAACTGGGAGGAAAAGGTGAAGCTCGAAACCACATTCAGATACCCCGGGACAGTGCCTTAGTGAATGCAAAGTCACCCCGAATGGCCATAAAACTATGCAGAAGGCACCATAAAACCCGATGACCAAAGAAGCAAAAGCGGCATGCAATGCAGAGGGTACCATAAAACCCAATGATCAAAGAAAACAAAAGCGGCATGCAATGCAGAGGGTACCATAAAACCCGATGATCAAAGAAAGTGAAAGCAGCCCGCAATGCAGAGGGGAATTTCTGTTCCAACGTGGGTTTCCTAAAACAACAGAGTGAAAACCCAGTGCAGAATCGCCCCCAGTTGAGAAAACGTGGAGCGAATGCTAGATGCAGGATCGCCCAGTGCCATCCTAAACAGGACTGCTGCCTTCTAATCCCATTTTTCAGGGTGTCACTCTTTTTAGGGTGGCATTGGAATGCCAGTGGATGATATTTTTGAGATGGGCAAAACCAAAGCATTTTCTCTGATCAAAAAGAGAGTCCTGGGAATCGACCATCGTAGTTTGACTCAGGGAGCCTGCAGAGTATGCTCACCCCCCCCCCTTTTGGGTCTTTCTTACCCAAAATCTTTACCCCCCCCATATGCACTATCTTAGGGGGGCTGCAGTGGCTCAAGTGGTTAAGATGCTGAACTGCGGACCAGAAAGTCGGTAGTTCAGCAGTTCGAGACTCGAGTGCCACATGACGGAGTGAGCTCCCGTCTCTGGCCCCAGCTCCTGCCAACCTAGCAGCTTGAAATCAAGAAATTGCAAGTAAATAAATACGTACCGTTTCGGTGGGAAGGTAACAGCATTCCGTGAGCCTCGGAGTTTAGTCATGCTGGCCACATAACCACGGAAATGTCTTCGGACAGCGCTGGCTCTTCAGCTTGGAAATGGAGATGAGCACTGCATCCCTAGAGTCGGATTTGACTGGCTTTCGAGCAAGGGAAGCCTTTACCTTTACCTATGCACTATTTTACCATTCCACATTATTGCAGAGCTTTTTTTTTGTTTTTTGCAAGACTGAGCATTATACCTATAATGGTTTTTGCAAGAGAGATTTTCGAATAGGCCCTACACTGACAGAATGTGCCCTTGTGGCCCTAACAGGATTGATACATCCTTTCACACCCTGCTGGGATGCAGATTTTTTTGAGATTATGAGGGATTGTTATATTAAGCCCTTATTCAACCAGTCCTCCCCCTATACCCCAGAAACCCTGGCTCTTTCGGTCAGTGATAAAATCCCAAGATCACTCTAAGAATTGCAAAATTTATCTCAGTCCTTTTAGCCCTTGCATCAAATAAATAAATAAATAAATGTTTTCTGCTACTCAAAATTTGTGAATCAATGGGTGATTCTACATCAAGAATTTGCTCCACATTCCCTCAACTGGGAGGAAAAAGTGCAGCTCAAAACCAAGTTCAAATACCTTGGGGCAATGCCGTACTGACTGCAAAGCCCCCCCTGAACAGCCATATATCTATGCAGAAGGTACCATAAAACCCAATGATCAAAGAAAGTGAAAGAAGCATGGAGTGTGGACACTGCCATAAAACCCGATAATCAAAGGGAGTCAAACCAGCATGCAATGCAGAGGGGGATTTCTGTTCCAGTGTGGGTTTCCTAAAACTTTGGAGGGGGAAGCCAATGCAGAATCAGCCAATGAGCTTCTAAGGGTATGAAAGGAAAGGAAAGGAAAGGAAAGGAAAGGAAAGGAAAGGAAAGGAAAGGAAAGGAAAGGAAAGGAAAGGAAAGGAAAGGAGGCATTGTAAGGGATGCCAATTAGTGTAGACCTCCAAGACTATGCTAAAGTATTGCTACAGAATCTCAATGTGTGTCAATGCTCCCTCTAAGCTGTGGAGCCTTGTGAGCAAAAATTCTACTTTGTGAGCTACTGGCCCTAAAGTTGAGAGCGAGCAATTTGGCAACTTCATAAATTAGTTTGCTCTGGAGCCACACTTACTGAGCTGAGACAAAAATGTGAGAGCCAGAGGCTAAAAAAAACGGTGAGCTAACTCATACTAACTCAGCTTAGAGGGAACACTGGTTGTGATGCCCCCTCCTGGCCAGCCCTGAAGCCTGTCCTTCCGTTGTTTTGTGTGTATTGGCCCCCAAGCTTCCCTAGCCTCACAATGGGGGAGAGGAGGGGATTGAATCACCTGGTTCCTCACTCTTCCCTGGATGCCTGCTCACAGACCTGTAGCAGGGCCCATTACTTCCTCCTCCAGTCTCAGCTGAGATCTGCTTTATGTGGGTTGGGTTAATCCCCAGCCCCCTCCAAAAGTTCCATGCCTCAAGCATACATCCATGATTTCCACACATTGGGTAGATAATCATAAATGTGGCACTCCCTGAAAAATGCTAGATAGTCCCAGTGTATTTACAAGATCATATATATATAATACATCAGATTTCTCTAGCTGAAATGTGCTTCATGGTTTAGGGGGCAGGTTTGAAGAAGCACAGAGGTCGGGTCCCCTAGCCTGAGGGCAAACAGTCTCCAGGCAGACTGTCTATATATTGGCTAGAGACAAGTTATGGGGAGATGGTTTGAAGGCTGTGGTTGGATGGTGGGCTACAATCGGGAGTCTGAGGAACAAAGAGGTACCTTGGTGGCCTCTCCTAGCAACAATCTGCCTGGACTAAGGTCGAATCCACATGTGTATTTCTTGCTGGTTTCCTGATGTTTTCACTCCTGTCCCCCAACAAACTGTCTACATTTGCATCTGGTTTCATGCTGGCAGTGCGCCTGTCAGGTTCAGCA